TTTAGTGGTAGTTAGGGTGAGTCATTTTTAGTTTATTTAATTTATTTCAAATTTAACCGAAAAGCATGACTTTTTTTTCTATTTCTTCCTAAATATTTGAAAAAAATAGTGGCATACTAATCTTCACCAATGCCGCACATACATATTCCATGCAAATTGAACAAAAGAAACTGTGAAATATAAAATGACGGTGTGTCTGCTGATGACGTGATATTTTATAATTTTATATGGTAAATTTAAAACGATATTCTCAAAATGATATTTTCTCCCCTTCTCCCTAAAACTTAAAAAGTTAATTACATGAAATTAATTTAACAATTGTGATCGATTCGTTTTTCTTTTGTTTAACTTATTAACATATTCGTTTTCGCATATTATTGCTGTTCGTGAATTATAAATTTCACAGTATGCATTGAAATAGTGGAAGCGTGCATTTTTTTGTTGTTGACGTTTATATAAACAGCATAAACATAATAGCTAGTGTATTAATTCTTAACTAACTATAATTGAAAATTATCTGTATCAAATCATTTTTGCAGTTCAACTGTAAACAAAGTATTGTTTTAATATGATGCATATTCAGAGATACGCATGGTTAGCTAGGTGTTCTCGAAACATTTTGAAAATTTACCAAACCAAGACTGTCATCGTCCACTTTTCAACAAAAAAAAATGTGATAACATAACAAGTAGGAAAATAGTAAACCAATAATTAATTCGTCGGAAACAGTTTGTTTAAATAAAGTGCTATTAGAAGGCGACAACATTAAATATCAGTTTAACGTTTACTTCAAAAATTAATAATTATTTGTCCGTAATACAATTTATAAAACTGAGTAAGCTAAGTTGGTGTTTTATTTGTTGTTATACCAATTCTGTTATCTTAGATGACAGTTGTTTAGTCTTTTAAATTTTCTTAAAAGTAACTCAGTTTTTGTACCATTTTGTTCGCATGCATGAAGAATCAAATTTTACATTTATTGGTGGTCGTTCTGAACGGTTAATCTTGTGTATTGTTTAAGTGTCGGAAATAAGTCATTCAAGAAGATTTCGGCAATTATTTATTAAAAAAATTGGTGAAGGCGCCGGTACGATTTAAAACGAAGATTACAATTGAGCTATAATCTCGTTTTTATTGAAGTAGATTGATGAATTTTTTTCTCTAAATTATATCTTCTCCATGTAGATGCAGTCAAGGACTTTAATTTATATCTTTGTCTCTACAATAAATTAATAATATTTAGTCAAACCAACGTATTCTAAATATTACATCTAATAATGTATGCTTATTATCTTCTTACAACTATATTAACAACCTTGTAGTCTTCTTTGTTTACATTCAACGACCTTAATTACTTCGCTATTACATTCTTTTTATTAACAGTTTAAGCTCTACATTTCGCTTTATGTTTTATTGCATTTCCACTACTCTGAAATTTTCACATACATCTTCTAATACTTCTTACAATATGTTTCTGTCACGTAATAAAACACCGTCCTTATTATTACTAACTTTATTTAACAATTTGCTTTTAAAAATTAACACTACTAGATATAATTAATTCACCATTATCTCAACACTATGTCGCCACTTTTTAATTTCTTCACTTTGATCGTTTCATAACGCGATCAAGTACTAACTCTTCCGACCCCGCAGCAACTATTTATAGTGGCTAGCCATGTTCTAGAATGATCCAGAATGTGACGTCTAAAAAATCTGGTCTTCTCTGTCACTATGTATGTTGAGTTGCCTACGTACATGTTATACTGCCCCCTCCTAAAACTGATTGTCCTGATCAGTGACGTCGCCTCTGTACTCCATATCGACTAATCTAGTCATTGACAATTTTCTCAGCAACGGTGTGTGTTTCCGCTTGTTAAAGTAATCCATGACTACCAAGATGTGTCGGTTACGGAAGTCTGTCACTGGAAATGGCGAGTCTCTCAGATGGCGTTTCTACTTACTGGACATTTCCTGCAGCAGTTTTTCTCATCGCTTCTACTTCATGGCCGATACAATCACTGGCGAATCTTCCCTAGGGTCTTCGTAACGTCGAAATGTCCTTCGTCATGGACTGCTTCTAACACTTCTGACATTCTTTTCTTCGGAAGTACCACTTGATGTTTGTTTCTGGTTCCATCATTCTCTTCAAAATGCCGTGGTCTAAGGAATTCCTCTGGACCCAACAACTTTTCGTTGTCTGACTCACATCTGCCCACGATTGTCTTGAAATTTCAGCTTTTTTTTTATCTCATTATTGGGTCAACATCTTCTTCCTTCATCTGTCTTCGGCGGTTATATTACAACAGATCGACATCAATTCTTTTTCTTTTCCGCAGATGAACAATGTTTGTAGATTTTCACGCAAGGTCTCCGGGATAGTGCATCTGCAGTGTCGTGTTGTATTCCTAAAGTCGTTGTAACCATCGTGCAATTTGTTCTTCTGGGTTTTGGAATTGCAGTAACCACTTCAGAGAGGCGTGATCCGTTCTCAAGAGAAAGTTTCGCCCATATAACAAAACAGGAACAAATAAAAGCTTTATTGGTAATGATGGTAGAAATGAAAAAAGGACAAATAAAAGTGATAAGAAAAAGGATAAGAAAAAATGATACTGGGATAGGAGGAAATAAAGCAAGAACTAAAAGCAGTCCAAGAAGAAATGAAAGAAGAATCGATAGCAGCTCAAGAAGAAACGAAAAAACAACAGATAGAAATGAAGGAATAGTTAAAAGCAACTCAGGAAGAAATGAAACGGAAAATAAGAGCAGTACAGAAAGCAATAAATACGAGAAAGGAGGACAAGATAAATCATATTAGAAATGAAATAGAAAAGAATATAGAATGAATGGAAATCAATATGGAAAAGAAGAGAGAAGAAGGGGAAACATAATAGAAAGGTAGATTGAAGAAATGAAAGGAGAAATAGAAAGGCTAAGACTATCCTCTGCTGAAGGAGCTAAATATTCCGATGTAAGGCCATCAAAAATTACACCTCCAACTTTTGATGGAAAGATCTCGTGGTCTGTTTACCTGAAGTAGTTTGAAGCAGCGGCAGAGGCAAATTCATGTATGCATAATTTGGTGCTTCTTCAAAAACCGTCCTAAACTAACCGAACTCAAAATCTTTTGAATAAAGCGTAACATCCCTTAAAAGGTTTAAATTGTATTTATTGGGCAATCATTACTTTATTATTTTTATGAAAGGGCGGAGGTATTTGTACAATTTTTCCTATACCACGTATATTTTTCAAGAGATAATTCCGTCCTTTGACGATTACATGTATGTAGGTATAATAAAGTATCACTGCTATATGTTAATCTATTTTTAAGCAGAAGAAATATGGCAAATTAATAAATAAACTAAAAGATATGTCACTTTAATTACTACCAAAATTAATAGTCCGCAGTCAAAAGTTTTAGTGGTAGTTAGGGTGAGTCATTTTTAGTTTATTTAATTTATTTCAAATTTAACCGAAAAGCATGACTTTTTTTTCTATTTCTTCCTAAATATTTGAAAAAAATAGTGGCATACTAATCTTCACCAATGCCGCACATACATATTCCATGCAAATTGAACAAAAGAAACTGTGAAATATAAAATGACGGTGTGTCTGCTGATGACGTGATATAGTAATAAAATACCACAAGAACCTTCAGAAATTAACCAATCAGCCAAATCGCAGCATTTATTTCGTAATTCCCAAGGATTAACTCTCTGTTTGTATTTACTTTAAAATGTATGAAATATTCGTCTTTTCAAAAATTACGTTTTTCACTGTAAGTGTGAAGTAACTTACATTAATAACCTCGTGTATTGAATTTGAGCAATTTTATTACGTATAAATATGTAGTTAAGTACATATACAATATTTACTTAAAATAAAACTTTAGTTTAGATTTTGGATATAATTATCTAGTGGCAAAATAAAAAGAATAAATGCGCTCGTTGCTGTATTCCACGTTTTTCAATTAAAAAGATTAAAAAATTAGTTGAGAAATATTGCAAATAAGTAGCGTCAATATTAGATTCATATAGCGTAATGTGTAATAGTACATGATATATATGGTGCTGTCTAGGTAAGCTTTGAGACTATTTATCCGTTTTAGTTACTTGCTTTGTGTTTCTGACAAGTTTGAAAGGGTGATAGCAAATGTCGGAAGTTGTTGAGGCTGTTGATATTCGAGTAAGTTTTTGCGATAAGTGGTGAGAATCAGCTATTTTACCTGAATTATTCATCGCATTTTAATATGTAGGATTCATAGTCGGTTGATAAAAACGGAACTTAAAATTGTGCCTTGATGTGACTTAATGTGATGTCAGTTTTATTTTAAAAACATAATTTATTCAAATTTAACCAACATAATAGACGTACCTGTAAAAAATGTGAGAGGTGTACCTGATAGTGGTACAATTAATGGTTCACATCTTCGTCCTGGCCGGTTTCCCATTAAATATTACTTTCACTAACGTCCTAAATCAATAATTACCAAGATCGCGTTTCAAAGTAGTTAAAACAACCAGTAAAATTTTAATTCTTAGTTGGCGGATTTTCAATGAGACGATTGAGTTGAAACGAGCCTATAATGTTTATAAACACTAAAAGTGTACAAGGTGACAAAATCGAACCTGATTTACCAACAAATAACAGAAATTGTAACAGTTCCGTCATACTGATGTACCTATTCTTGTTGATGAGAAAAATTAAGTATCGGAACTATATCGAAGTAGCAAACAATTTGGAATAGTAATCAATAAATAATAAAAATTAGATCAAACGACCTAAAATTAAAAGTACTAGGTACGTTTGGGTTTAACGGACGTGGTTCAGGGTTGGCTTTCCTTCTTCGGATAATGTTGGATCACAACTATCAAACCTGAATATCGAGGGCCTCATGAAATATCTAATGCCAGCTGAGAAAACATTAGCCTTTTTAAACGTTAAATATGTATTTATCGTACCCTTCTCTTTTTTAGTCACTGTTTATTTTGATTTTACAGGTGCTGAGAAACTAATCAAACGCCGTATCTATGGATACAGATGGGTTTCCGGAAGTTAGACGGATAATTTTGATTTCTTCCCTGGTTAACCACTAGGGATGTCGACAGTATCGAATCATTATCTTAACGTGAGACCCCCCGGACGCAAGAGACGTTGTTATTCGTGATGTTTACCAATCGACGGGTATTTCTAGTCAAATGTGTGCTAGTAATCGTTCTTGTTTATTTTTTGCTTTATGTTGTCTCGATAAGTAGCACGTCACATTTGATTCGAGAGTTGCAACAGTCGGGCCGGAACTTAGCCGCTTTAGATCCCCGACAAAGCATTGATACGACTTTGATCGTCAAAACGTTTGACGGAGAAGCGTCCGTGACTACAAAACGTACCCCTATTCCTCAGCGCATTTTCGACGCCGTCGTTTCTAATATCGTAGTAGCATCGACGACTAGCGCTAAGTCGGTAACTATTACGGACAAAGTGAAAGAGATAACGCGCTGTCTTGATAAGCCGTCAGATTTCAAAGTGCAACAGCGCGGCGATTACTGGGTATTCTACAATTATGTGAAGGCCGATCGAACTTTTAAGTGTCAAGAAACTATCACGTATACCACCCATGCAGACTATTCTTTCTTGGACAATCTTTTGCCACTTCTGAATAGATGGCAGGGGCCCATTAGCATTGCTTTGCACGCGCCAGGAAGCGACTTCCAGATCACTCTAGATTCTATTGCTTACCTGAGAGACTGTACCTCGCCCTTAGTTAAAGAACTTGTAACTTTTCACGTTTATTTTAGCACGAAGCATGTTCCTAAACAGGTAACAACTATTACCTTCTTTATTTGTTCTATTTTTTTCAGGACACCTAATTACCTTTTGTTAGTAATTTTTAATAATTTGACTAATTTTCTAAAAATGTATGTATATGGTAATGTAATGTAGAAGATGAAGTCCAATAATTATAGGCACCTATGGGATCTTTTATAAATTTATTTTTTATATAAATAAACATTTTTAGATACCACGCCAAGATAAGATGTTTACGGAATCGTATAATTGTTCCCTAACAGCTCCTTACTTTAACGTCAGTAGCGATCAAATGTACAAGAGTCAGAAGAAACTGTTATATCCCGTGAATGTGGGACGTAACGTGGCACGTGAAACGGCACAAACTTACTTTATTCTTCCTTCTGATATTGAATTGTATCCTAGTCCAAATATAATTCAAAAATTCCTTGCCATGATTGCAGAAAATAAGGGACCTCTGTTACGAAAGAATCCTAAGGTTTTCCCTTTGCACTTGTTCGAGGTTAGCGAAAACCAGCAGATTCCCGAGAACAAGACGATATTGAAAGAGATGCTAAAAAATGGTACAGCTGTGCCATTTCATAAGAAATTATGTCCTGGATGTCATAATGTTCCTAAGTCGAAAGAATGGCAGATGGCCAATGAAACTCGAGGACTACATGTGTTTCATATAGGCAAGAGAATGGGGTATTTCGTTCATTGGGAACCGATATTTATTGGGACACATTCGGAGCCGTTATACGACGAAAGGCTCAGTTGGGAAGGGAAAAGCGATAAGATGACTCAGGTAAAATAAGTACGCCTTTTTTATTTAAAAAATAATATACTGAAAACAAGAAAAACTTTCATGTCATGAAAAGTGGTATTTATTGCTACCTGGTTTGAAAGTGCGATGTGTAAAATTTCAGTTTAAAACGGAATAATAATTTTAAGCTGAGTAGAAAGTTATACAGTTTTAAAAATGTAACTGGAAACAACATCTCGGATGTCGAAGTGTTTTAGGTTTTTCCGGATTGTTTTTATTTGGAATTTTTGGTTTTATTTACAATTACTTAAATTTTACACCACTCTATTTGATTTTCGACATGTATTTCGTATCATGCGGTTTTTGAAATAATATAAATCAAGAACTCAGAACATATTTAATTTGGAGGCCGTTTTTCTAATCAATAAATTAAACTGCGATTATTAAAAAAATAACGTATTTTATAAGTGTAATCGAGAAAGGATTGTAATGTTTGCATAGGGATGATACATGTACTATGTAAATATAAAACTAAAGATTTCGGCGCTTTAAGTTTACTAAAATAGAATGCGGTACATTGGTCACATGGATCATGCATGCGTGACTAAAATGCACGTCATAAGAATATATAGACTCATGAAATTATTATGTCGTGTATGCTCGTAAGTGGTATCAAATGGAAGGTGGAGTGTTTATATGTGCAGAAAACTCAGACACCTTTGATTAAAAGCTTGAATGTGAATGCTGGGCGGAGTAATCTGGATTTTCTAGCATCATTTTAATTTTTTTTTCAAACTACAATTAGTATTACAAAATAATGTAATTAAAATATATATGTATTTTTACTTATTTGAATTGTTTTTTTACAGGGTTATGCACTTTGCGTATTAGACTACGATTTTCTCATATTGGACAATGCTTTCCTGGTTCATAAGCCAGGAATAAAAGTTTACAAAAAAGACCAGAAGCGTGCGATTCTTGCTGCAAAAACCAACCAACTCATTAAAAAAATCATTTTCCCTGAACTAAAAGTTATATACGGTGTGAAAAAAGGCTGTGCTGTTTAGTGTAGTACATAATATACCTAATAATTCACTTCAGCTAAAAAAAGATATTTACATATTGTAACAGGATCTTTGGCTTTTGGATTGCTTACAGTAAACTGTAAAATTCATATCGCAGGTCTTTTAATGGATCTTGAATGAAGAGATCAATATCTTCAGCATTATTATAAACAAATTGAAACCATTGGCTAGGTTATAAAAATACAGACTTTAAGAAAACCACAGTAAAAGGCGCTCTTTGATTAGATAAATCAAATACATCCAGGAAAGGGCTTTCCGACAAAAATTTTGATACATTGAATACCATATTGATTGATCTTATAATCATAATAGGTCATTTTTATCCAAAATCCAATAAGCCCCTTTTATTTCAGTTGCTCATTTTTTTATTTTTAGTTTTATTTGTATTATTTTATGTTAATGTTTGCATGATTTCTTATTTATTTTTTATATCTTGAAATAAGAAAATTAACAAACTGGCTTAAAGAGATGCGCATCATTTGAATTAACTTCCTTTGTAATATGAATATAAAAGTGATGCATAAGTATGTATAAGCAATAAACAGTTTACATTTGTTCGGTATTTTCCACGTTTTTTTAAATTTATTTTGTGATTTAGAATGTTTACTTGTTTTAAATCGACATCAATATAAGTTGCAATGTACTTATTTCTTGATAATTAAATGTATCTATTTCTTAAAATTGACAGTTTCTGCATATTATTGATGTGCCTTATTCTCAAAGTGATGTAAAATATAGTTTTATAAATGTAATATGCAATTTTATTTATCTCCTTTATGCACGAGCGCAATAAAAAATATAAATTCCATTTTTTAATTATTAAAATTGACTAAAAAAAGTTCTTTATATTACGTTTACGTATTTACGTTCACTGAATCGCTCAAAGGAAATGCGTTTATTTTCATTCATTCATTTCAACGTCATCAATAACTAAATCATCTAGCATTTCTTCTAATGTAATAGTTGGAACTGTTGGATCACCATCATCAGCATCAACAGGAATAATTTTAGTTTTGTCTCTGAAGATATTTACATTTTGCCTTAGCTCAGGATCTTCTTCCAGATCATCCAAAAATTCATTATAATCACTGCAATAACATAATTAATAATAAGAATTCTGTGAGATGCAAGAATATTCATACTTTGAATTCGTTGTCAAAACAATATCTTCAGCATTCAAATGCTTTAATTTCCACATCCTCTTTCTTCTCTGGACTGAACGATCATAATATTTTTTTACCAATATGACATCAGGAAGATAATTAATGTCCATTTTATCAAAATTTTCATCATTTATATTACTGTCTTTGAGATTGTACCTGTTTAAAGTGAAATAGAAAATCATTAATATTTTGAAAACCATTATTCAATATCATTACCCCAAAACAGAATCTCCTGGTTTTAAAATGGCTCCTAAATGTGTTCTTGCATGAATAAAATTTTCCTCTATGCCTAAATCAGAAGCTCGAACAACCCATGTATCTGCCAAAATATGACGGTTGGATATAAAACCTTGCCCAGGAAATTTATTACGATTTTTATCCATTATGGGTTGAATATCCATCACAATATACTCAACTAATTGTTTGGGATCACAAATACTACCAAAGTGATTTCTCCAAAATAATTTTGAGTTTATTTCTGTTACTAAAATGACACCGTTGAATTATAACATAGTAATAAAAAATTAATATTTACTCTGAGAACTGGCAGGATCAATTAGTTGCAATGCACTAGTAACTCGATGAACAAGACATATTTGAGATATACCACCACATTGTTGGGCAAACTTTTTAGGTAAGCATACAACACTATCTTTGGAGAGTGGAATAATTTCAACAGAGTAGGTAAATTTATAGTTGTAAATATTACTATGAATATCATGTGAAATAAGCTTTTTAGAGTGTTGATAACGACATGGAAGGACTGAATTTAAAAAATCGACCATTTTACGAGCATGTGCTTCAGTGGCATAATAAAAATCAATTCCCTCTTAAAAGAATGCAGATAAGTAAATTTTTATAAGCTTCAATTCTTTCTTCAAATAACATACCATGAATTGGTTTTATTCCAAGAGCATTTTCATGTATTTTGTGTTTAAGTATCAATTGTTCCAAATAGTAAAATGTTTTCTTGTTTTCAGATTTTTGTCTCACTTGAACTGAAGCACGCCAATAATCTTTAGCTTCAGTACGATGACAATCATTACACATTTGGTGATTTACCATGTATTCTACAATGAATACTTGTTGAAGAATTGCACCTCCAATGACTTCATCCTGTACTGTTAGTTTCAGCTTAAATTAAATTGCTTATTGTAAAAAAGCTAATTTCCTTTAAAAAATCTCACACAAACCTTTATTCTCTTAGAATGAGGCTCAGTCCAAACAAATGAAGCATCAATAAGTTTTACTTTCTGTAGCCCCTTTAATTTTTTTAAGCAAAGAGACAAAAGTTCTCTTGATTCCAATGCACAGTGTATCCATTCAGCTGGTGGCTGGAGATATCTCTCACAACCTTTACAAAAATACAATGAAACTTGCTTAGTGATACCTTCTGTGATGTCAACGTGAGTTCTGAGACATCCGATGCACATGTTAGAAGGATTTGGATTAATTGCTGTTCCACATTCGCAGCACAATCTGAAAACAAAATCGTGTTAGACGGAGTTGAACCATTTTCGTCAAAATTTACATTTTAAGCGTGCATTCGTTTTCTTTAATTTTTTCTATAGTTTCCATTTTAAGATTTAAAACTTTTAAATTGCAGAAATTATAAATTGCAATAAAAGAAATCGCAACGATTGACGATATGATTGACGATAAACCTAAAAAGATATGATCATTATCATAGATATAGATAAGTCCATAGATAATAGATATACAAAGGGTATGTCCATAATCATGTCCATAATAATACAATAATGAACTCTTTTTTATCTATAACCATAGATAAAACAAAGATTTTCAAATCTTATATGATAATCATATAATCCACTATCTGTGATGAATTTTATTTAATTCTTATCTATGATCATCTATGATTGAATTTATGTTATGATTAGGTCGCTTAGGTAAACATATGTAGTATGATGTATGTAGTATATTTATTTTTACAGCGAAACTGTTTAAGATAATCATCGACGTCTACTAATGGACGTGCCTTAGCGGTTAGAATTGTGGTACAACGAAAGAAAGACATGGAACGAAGTTTCGGACAATATCCATCTCTCACGATAGTGCGTATGCGTGTCATGAAAGAGACAGCATTAGCCGAAACCATACGCCATCTCTCTCACTTTTCGAGCCAAGAAATTAATACAATGACATACGGCTAAGGCACGTCCATTAATATATGTCTATGAATATAGTAGATGTTTCTATGAATTTTATGCATCTATGACAGAAGACACGCTTTTTGTAAGTATTTTTATTCTATTTAATTATTTATTTACTTCATGCAATGGTTACTTCGTTATTTGTCTATTTCTACAGATTTAAGGTAAATGAGTGAGGAGATTGAAGTTTATTTTGATGCTACTGAAAAAGCAAGTCGTCTCCTATGGTGTTTTATCTGTTATCTTCTTGGAGACTTGTAGTTAATTAAGGTGAGCATACATGCTATATTATATATGTAGTGTATTTAGTTGATATCAACAGAGAAAAGGGTTGAACTTTACTTTAACTGGGCAAGCTAAACTAATTGTATCTGCTTACTTTTTTATTGATTTCATTTTATAGGAACATTAACAAACACCAAATGCCATTAAATAAGTTGTATCAGTCCCCATTTGCTCCAGATAGTAGATGTGTACTTATGGTCCTAAAGAAAGCCCCTTTTTTCCATTGGAAGAGAAGACAGTGTGCTGTAGCTGAGGATTCATGACAGTGAACTGGTAAGTAACTATCAATTAAAAATAGTAAATGAGATCCCAGAAACCTCTATCTTTTAGACATTTATAACTTGCTTCTATAGACAACTTCTAAACAATGTATTTTAGAAAGTAGTAATTAATTACTTTTTTTTGCCTGTAGCAAACAAATGAGAAGGAAAATTGCAGTTAATTTTGATGCTACTGAAACAATCGATGCTTTGACATTTTCACCTTGCAACATTATGCAGTTAATTTTGGTTCTGAGTATTGGAGGTCATCGGAAATTAATTTGGTTTGCTCAACATATTTATGAACTTTAGAACGCTACTTTTTAAGGTTAACTGAGGTGAAAGTACATAACATAATCAATATTAATCGCTCTTTATTACACTGTTATGGCATTTCTTTTAACAATTATATATTCTCCACAGTATAAATTGACACACTTCTATGTTATTTACATTAGTTTAACCAAGTATTATGCACGTTACTAAGGATGCTTCAACTGATTTTCTTGGTTTTTAATGCGTGTTTTTAATTAATGTTTTTTTGTTGCCCATTTCTACAGATCGTTCAACAAATTAGAGGGAGTTGAAGTTCAGTTTGGTCGTACTGAAACAACAATTGTCTACATGGGTGTGGTCTTTGGTGAACTACATTCTTGATTTGCTGTTTTTGTCATATATATTTATTTGATTTCCACTGAAATAACGAATTTTCTGCATTGGCATTATTCCTGGATTTGGTTTGCTTTTCACTTTTAACAATTATATATTCTCCACAGTATAAATTGACACACTTCTATGTTATTTACATTAGTTTAACCAAGTATTATGCACGTTACTAAGGATGCTTCAACTGATTTTCTTGGTTTTTAATGCGTGTTTTTAATTAATGTTTTTTTGTTGCCCATTTCTACAGATCGTTCAACAAATTAGAGGGAGTTGAAGTTCAGTTTGGTCGTACTGAAACAGCAATTGTCTACATGGGTGTGGTCTTTGGTGAACTACATTCTTGATTTGCTGTTTTTGTCTTATATATTTATTTGATTTCCACTGAAATAACGAATTTTCTGCATTGGCATTATTCCTGGATTTGGTTTGCTTTTCACACCTGCAAACTTTGGAACATTAAAGAACATTACAGTTAATTAAGGTGAGAATACTTGATATAATTAATTTTAATTGCTCTTTATTAATCTGTTTGCCACCATATCTCTTTCAGATCGACGTTGGAGAAGACAAAGATGACCCCGTAGTTTAAATAGTTCTTTATCTTGTATGCTCTATCTACTAGAATTCATTAAGTTGGTTTTATTCAAATTAGTTTTTTATTTTGCATGTTTTTTTTTCTCGTAGTTTATTTTATCTCAATTCGTTTTTATTTTGCATGCTTATTTTTGTTCTTTTTGTTTGAAGTAATTGTTGATTGTAGATTTTTTTATTTTTTTTTTGTTTAGTAGTTGTAGTGTAGTCTAACATGTCTCTTGCTTACCTCTTTGCTTAGCTTACTGCATATTCTTACTAAATGCTTTGCATTTACCCTACGCCTTGATGAAAGCGAATAGTGCAATTACAAGGACTAACGACAAATACTAATAGCTTTGGTAGAGAAGATCGGACAGATTTCGCCAAGGCAAGCTGGGCAGTCGCCTATTGCTCCTATTCCAGATAACCCATTGTACCCTGTCTGAAAGGAAGTAACGCTAGAGTAGATTCGCGAAATGTGTGTAAGACAGTTTTAAGATTACCTAAATATCTAAGCCCAAGGGAAGTCGTTCGGGGAGGCCCTCTCTAGTTCCACAAGGGTGAGAAGAGAAAAGAACACAATAACGAAACGTTGAATCATGTAGAAGGCGTAGGGTAAATGCAAAGCATTTAGTAAGAATATGCAGTAAGCTAAGCGAAGAGGTAAGCAAGAGACATGTTAGACTACACTACAACTACTAAACGAGTTAGTGTTAGTACTACACTACTACTACAAACAAAAAAAAAATAAAAAAATCTACAATCAACAATTACTTCAAACAAAAAGAACAAAAATAAGCATGCAAATTAAAAACGAATTGAGATAAAATAAACTACGAGAAAAAAAACATGCAAAATAAAAAACTAATTTGAATAAAACCAACTTAATCAATTCTAGTAGATAGAGCATACAAGATAAAGAACTATTTAAACTACGTGGTCATCTTTGTCTTCTCCAACGTCGATCTGAAACAGATAGGGTGGCAAACACAGATTAATAAAGAGCAATTAAAATTAATTATATCCAGTATTCTCACCTTAATTAACTGTAGACTGTAATGTTCCAAAGTTTGCAGGTGTGAAAAGCAAACCAAATCCAGGAATAATGCCAATGCAGAAAATTCGTTATTTCAGTGGAAATCAAATAAATATCCAGTTGCTCTCACTCATCAGTTCAAAACTAAGTGCATAATGATGCAAAGCGAAGACGAAAACAGCAAATCAAGAATGTAATTCACCAAAGACCACACCCATGTAGACAATGGTTGTTTCAGTACGACCAAACTGAACCTTAACTCCCTCTTTGTTGAAAGATCTGTAGAAATAGACAAAAAACATATTAATTACATGATTAATTAAGGACGAGATTAAACACACCTAAAAATACGCATCAAAAAACACGTAAAACAACTGAATTATAAAATAGCGACAAGCACCAAGTTTACCTGACAGACTAAATATGACATAAATGTGAAACAATCATAGACGCACATAACATTAATTTATTACAATTCCACAGATGCACCAGTCAATTTAAACTGTAAACAATAGATAAACGTTAAAGACATACCATAGGTGCTGTGGACTATAGATATTTAAAATACTATACATACTCCACAACGTGAATCTATACTCTGGCCAATAGATAACAGTTTAAAAGAAATGCCACTATAGATTAATAAAGAGCAATTAATATTAATTATGTGTTGTTTTCTCACCTTGACTACCTGTAGAAAGTAGCGTTCCAAAGTCTATCAGTATCATAAGCAGAGCAAAACAAATATAGGAGGGATATCACTGCAGACAATTTGTTGTTTCAGTGGCTTCCAAATTAATTTCCATTTACCTCCCATTCTCAGGCCCAAAACTAACTGCATAATGTTGGAAGATGAAAACATCAAAAGCATCGGTTGTTTCAGTAGCATCAATATCTTCTAATTTGTTACGACAATCTATAGAAACGGACAAAAAAAGTAATCAATTACCACTTTTAAAGCAAGTAAATCAGTAACATTCACACTAATCAAAAGATCAGTTCCATATTAATTCTGCTGAAATGTTGTTTAAAAGTTGTCTATTGAGGCAAGTTACAAATGTCTAAGAAATTGAAGTTTCTGGGACCTCATTTACTATTTTTAAATGATACTGTTACATACCAGTTCAATGTCATAAATCCTTTCTTTAGCAACAGCACACTGAACACACGTTTTCATGCTTTTTTTTAAGACCATAGATACAGCTACTTTCTAAAGCAATTGACGACTGAGACAACCAATTCCCCATAATTTAACAGAATCTGGAGTTCTTCCAATGTTCCTGTAAAATGATACAGTATTTTAGCATCCTTAGTAAATAATGTGCGTAATACTTGGTTAAACTAATGTAAATAACATAGAAGTGTGTCAATTTATACTGTGGAGAATATATAATTGTTAAAAGAAATGCCATAACAGTGTAATAAAGAGCGATTAATATTGATAATCTTATGTACTTTCACCTCAGTTAACCTTAAAAAGTAGCATTCTAAAGTTCATCAGTATGTTGAGCAAACCAAATTAATTTCCGATGACCTCCAATACTCAGAACCAAAATTAACTGCATAATGTTGCAAGGTGAAAATGTCAAAGCATCGATTGTTTCAGTAGCATCAAAATTAACTGCAATTTTCCTTCTCATTTTTTTGCCAGACAATCTATAGAAACAGGCAAAAAAAGTAATTAATGGTAATTTTTTACATTAGTTGACATTGGGATTGAGACATGAAGTTTAGTGAGGTAGGTAGTACTCACCAAGTAAAGTAGTGTAGTAGTATTTACTAGAATTTTGTTTATTATTTGTTTAAAAATCAATATGATTGAGATACAGGCTCTTAGTTTTCTTAATCGGAGCAAATTCCGGTAGGTATGGCCCTGGCTTCAGCCTTCGGTCAGCTGTTCCCGCCAAACATCGTTTGTCCTAAAACATATCTTCGTAACATTATTCATATGTATCAGCCGGGGCATTACACAGACTCGAGTCTGTCATACATGTGCCTAACTAAACAATGTGGTCATCAATGCATATTTGGCAAGAACAGCTGAAGAAGGACTGCAGCCAGGGCCGTACCAACCAGAATTTCCTCCAATTAAGAAAACTTTAGGAGCCTGTATCTCAAGCTACATTGGTTTCCACATGGAATTAATACTACCACATGATTCTACATGGTGAGTACTACCTACCTGATTAAACTTAATGTCTCATTTCCAATGTCAACTAATGTAAAAAATGACCTAATTAATTACTACTTTTTAAAATACATTATTTAAAAGTTGNATACCATGAATATTCCTCCTCCAGCACCGCTACAAGTTCAAAATATTCCCCCTCCTTCTTCTATTCAATTAAATGAAATCCCAAAACCAAAACCGATTGATATTATTAATATTCCAACACCCACAGAAGTTGCTACAAATTTAGAAAATAGTATGTCTGATCCCGACTTTATAAAGAATATTCCGCCCCCAAACAAGTCAATACCACCTCCTAGCATTCAGGACACTACAATTAGTGCTAATATTTCTGTACCACCTCCAGACATTTCTAATCCTGGGCCTACTTGTATGCCCCCTCCAAACGTTTCATCACAAAATATCCCTCCTCCACCGTCTCTGGCTCTATTACCTCCGTCACCACAAAGCGTGCCTCCTCCTCTTCCCCAAAGTGTGTCGTCTCTTATTATTTCCGAAAACGTCGGCCAATCCGTTATGACACCACAGACAATTATAGTTCATTCAGTGCCACCTCCATCCCAAAATATTCAGTCTCTTCAACTGCTTTCTCCTTCGTCAACTATTCAGAACGTTTCCTCTCAGTTACCGTTACAGACGGTTTCTCAAACATTGCCTCCGACTCCCGTTATCCCTGTTACACTGACATTACAGTCGGGTACAGAAGTGTCGAATGCTACTGAAACTAACGTTATCATTTCTCAGCAGTTGTTACAAGGGAACCCGGGACAGATTAGCGTTGCCACTCCAAATTTAAATATACATTATCCTCCCCCTATTGTGAATAATAACATTCAGGGACTGCAACAAACTTTTATTACACAGCCACCTCCTATTACAAACCATACCATGCCACCTATGAATAATTCATCACAGATACTGGATTATATGATGATCATATAAGATTTGAAAATCTTTGTTTTATCTATGGTTATAGATAAAAAAGAGTTCATTATTATATTATTTTGCTAATTTATTTATCCGCTGTTATACTACCCTCAAAGCAAAGGTGTATGATTTGTGATCTGTGTATATGTGATAGAAATTGACAAAATAGCCTAAATTGCCGAACAATAATGTAATCGGTAATGCAAGTTGAAATGTATGGTACGTAAAAATATAATAAATTTGTAGTTATAAATAAGGAATTATATTGTTAAAAATGCTTTTCTCCAAAAAATGAGGAATGAACTACTCTATGTATTAGTGGCTTCCGTGTTTTACAAATAATAAACAACAATGTCAAAATAGTTATAGTAGGTAAATGTTAACGTGTGCTAATTACTGCATACTGGGTACTTAATTAATTCACTTTTATGCCTTTCGTAGTAAAAATTGCCTCAATCATAATTAGAAATGTCTAGAAAAGGAATTGTAGACGTTTTTCAAACCAAAACAACCAGAAATGATCGATATGCCCAGATGTCTCATCAGGAAAAACTTATTGAACAAAAGAAGAGGGAAATTCAAGCTAAAGTGGAACAGAAGAGAAAAAGTGGAAATTCCGAGAAAAGTGAAAAAAATAAGGAGTTAGTATCTTGATATCACTAAATTTGCTAAAAAAGTTCACATAAATTGTAAATGTTTTCAGTACTAAGTCATACACTAAGAGTTACAATCAATTTTCTAATGATGGATCGTTTATGGACCAATTTAAACAAATGAAGGACAAGAAGATTGATCAGAAACTAAAATCATTTAAATTTAGCCAAGAAAAATCTCACAGGTGTGTTATACCTAATATAGTCACCATTTGTGCTTAAAAAATGATTTTGAACTTGAATTTTTTGCAATTGTATTTTTAATTTGAACATTTAATTTTTTTATTTATTTCAGTGAAGATCGTAACAGAAACAACAGATGGTCACATCGCAGACGTTCTCCTTCTCCTATCTCATCCAGACATAAATTTTCTGACAAGTTTCAAAACAATGAACCTAAAATTAGTATATCAACGTCTTATACTAATTTCATATCACAAGCCAATTTTAATGTTCAAACTTCTCAGAGTATTATTACCCCAGAGAATGCTGTTGGCCAGCCTCTCCTAAAAAATGACCAGTCTTCTTCAAATGTTACATTTCCTCCCCCTACACAAACTTCCACAACGGTCATTTCTGCCCTGCCTCTTATGTTAAATGCTCCTCCACCTCCAATAATCCAACAAAATGCCGTATTGATGCAACAACCTGCTTTACCATCTACAGCTGTCATTACTTCTGAAATTCGAACTCCCACGATAATAACATCTTTAAGTTTGCCCCCTCCTACTTCAGCAATTGGACCCCAAAATGCTCCTGATTTGACTGGAGCAACATTACCAGTTTTGGGACCTGAAAACGCTTTAAATATTCCCACTCTTCGATCCATGACTTCTGTTGAATTGGCATCTATACCATCACCAAACCCTTTACAATTACAAAGTATTCCCCAACCTGAACCTATAAATACCATGAATATTCCTCCTCCAGCACCGCTACAAGTTCAAAATATTCCCCCTCCTTCTTCTATTCAATTAAATGAAATCCCAAAACCAAAACCGATTGATATTATTAATATTCCAACACCCACAGAAGTTGCTACAAATTTAGAAAATAGTATGTCTGATCCCGACTTTATAAAGAATATTCCGCCCCCAAACAAGTCAATACCACCTCCTAGCATTCAGGACACTACAATTAGTGCTAATATTTCTGTACCACCTCCAGACATTTCTAATCCTGGGCCTACTTGTATGCCCCCTCCAAACGTTTCATCACAAAATATCCCTCCTCCACCGTCTCTGGCTCTATTACCTCCGTCACCACAAAGCGTGCCTCCTCCTCTTCCCCAAAGTGTGTCGTCTCTTATTATTTCCGAAAACGTCGGCCAATCCGTTATGACACCACAGACAATTATAGTTCATTCAGTGCCACCTCCATCCCAAAATATTCAGTCTCTTCAACTGCTTTCTCCTTCGTCAACTATTCAGAACGTTTCCTCTCAGTTACCGTTACAGACGGTTTCTCAAACATTGCCTCCGACTCCCGTTATCCCTGTTACACTGACATTACAGTCGGGTACAGAAGTGTCGAATGCTACTGAAACTAACGTTATCATTTCTCAGCAGTTGTTACAAGGGAACCCGGGACAGATTAGCGTTGCCACTCCAAATTTAAATATACATTATCCTCCCCCTATTGTGAATAATAACATTCAGGGACTGCAACAAACTTTTATTACACAGCCACCTCCTATTACAAACCATACCATGCCACCTATGAATATACCGCCACCAGCATCTATTCCGAATTCCGCACCCCCTCAGGAGATTAAATCTCTCCAAGCAGGTAAACAATTTTATATACTTTTAAATAATTATTGTCACTTATTAAATTGAAGTGTTATTATGCGTTAAAAATATTTAATTCTATAGTAGAAATCGGAACTAAATAAGGTTTAACGCCACTCTGGGAAATTAATTTATTATATGGGTTTTTGTTATAAAAAGTATGTTTATTCTTTTGATTACACTTTACTATAAAAAAGTTCTTGTAACTAGTGTAAGAAGTGTATTCTTTAGAATAATTCACTTTATTTCTTTAGGTATCTAGGCATTCGAGAAAGACATTTTATGCTGCTTTTGATTCTCTTACTTTTTTATTATCTTGCAGGGTTGGCTTATTTCAATTCAAATCTCAATTGATATATTGTTTTTCATTCTCCAATAAATATCAAACACAAGAAAATTTGAACATATTGTTACATTAATAAATAATAAACTATGTAAGTCATAATTATTTGCCACATTTACCCATTTTTTTTCCCCAGTATATCGTACATACGTACACTTGATAGTGATAATGTCTTTTGATAAATTAATAATAATTTCATTTTATAACGCTATTGAGCCAACCCTGTTATATTTTGGGGTTGTTAGTGACGGTTTGTGAAGTGTATTCCTCAGGTACGGCCGAATACGAGGCAATGGTGTCACTGGGGCGAATGGTAGCCCAATGTGGACCCGGCATCGAGGACATTGTGCGTCAGCGCAAGCAACAAGATCCCCATCTTTGGTAGGAAGGGATTAAGCGTTTGAAAACAATATCTTTTAGAGCAGCCACTCTTAAAACTTTCTTTTTTCTATTAAAGCCAAAAAAGCATTCAAAACATTAAAAAATGAACACTCCTCTTATTTAAAGGCATATTTATATCCTTTTTTGTAAAAGACAACACTGTTTTCTTTGAATGATTGCATTATCGTTATACATAATAAACATATTTTTCCTCCTTTCAGAAACAGCAATCGAGTTCGTTTTTCAAGGAACAAAACCGCGTTTTTAATAGCAAAAAGTAGTGTCATGTTATCCAAATATCAGTTCTCTTTTTTTATTATTTTGTACATCCAGATTTTTTGCTTTTTCATTTCAACCACTGTACATAGGGTAAATTAATTTAGCTTTTTAGCTGTACACGTAACCAGTTAAAAACTAATTTAAAGTAAGAAAAATACAAATAAAAAAAATATTGAGTTGCAAGTGTTTAAGTGGAAATTTAAAAATTTCAAAAAGAAAAAATGTAATACTTGGATATTTACGTTTAATAGGCCTTTAAAGAATAGTAGTGGTGAAATTGTTAGATGTTACATTAAAGATATTAAAAAAAAAAACGACTAGATTTGGCCAAATTTAAGTTCATTAAGGTGGGACTCGGACACAAAAGCAAACACATTACTAGCAGTTTGATTTAGGCCCAATTGTTTGCATTATTTTGAATCTTTTAGGTTTTTATTTCATAAAGAGTCCGCGCCTTATCGGCAGTATCAACAATTAGTCGAACAGTTCAGTGTGGAGACAGAAAGGGAGAAAAAAGAATTTAGAAATGCCCAGCAAAACGAAAACAATTTGATGAAAGGGGTACTTATATCTTTATTTATTAAACGTTTCTGTTTTATCGCAACAAACATTAATCAATATATTTTTAATAGGAAAATTCAGATTTAAATGAAAAGGATAATGATCAGGACTCAGGGGCAGGTAAAAGAAGGAGACGGAGTCGTTGGGGAGATAAAGATCAAAAGATGACCCTCCCCACAATGATGATGGTAGGCAATTCAAATGCCTCCGTCACTCCCACCTCTATTCCTATAAATATCGCAATTAATCCTGTCCTTAATGTTCTGCCACCAGTTCCAGTCGTGTGTCCTCAAAAATCTCAAGGTAGTTACTTATTTACTTTATATTTTAATAATTATTATGGTGGACTTTTTAAATTGTTGTATTAAAAAAAATAAAATGCTACTCTATTTTTAAGGACCCGTTTTACTTACGTCTTTAACCAGAAACGATCCAGCTTTTATTCAGTACGTTAAACAAACATATGGGTCTGTTGATTTAACTGAAGAAGACTGGAAAAAAGCTGAAGACAATTTCAAAGTTAGTCTTTTATATCAAGAGATGTTAAAGAAGAAACAGGAAGCTGAACGATTGGCCAAAACAGGTAAACATAAATATGACTACGATTCAGATGAAGAAACAGATGGAGGTACTTGGGAGCACAAACTTCGAGAGAAAGTAATATCTTTATTCTGAAGCCAAAGTACGAAAACACACATTTGGCTGTTTTCTTTTTTTTAATTGTTAGGAAATGCAAAAAACTCAAACTTGGGCTGTAGAATTAACGAAAAATGCAGAGGGGAAGCACCACATTGGCGACTTTTTACCTCCAGAAGAATTGCAGAAATTTTTAGATAAAAAAGGAAAAGGACCAAATGATGGTTCCGACTACAAGGATTTTAAAATTAAGGAAGACAATATCGGTTTTAAAATGTTGCAAAAACTTGGCTGGTCCGAGGGCCAAGGACTTGGAGCAACAGCTTCAGGAATAGTGGAACCAGTCAATAAGTATTAGTTCTTTTTTTACAAAATGTTGCATTTAATACTGCCGTATTTTTACAGGGCTCTCGTAAGAGATCAAAATCAAGGATTAGGTTTAGCATCATCTGCAGTGGAAGAAAATGACGATGAATATGAATCGTATCGGAAAAGGATGATGTTGGCTTACAGGTTTAGACCAAACCCTTTGGTGAGAAATTTCTCTTATAAACATACCAATTAGTAGTTTAAATTGATTATTATTTGCAGAACAATCCTCGGCGACCATATTATTAACTTAACAGTGTACAATTAGATTATTATTGTAAATATTTGTATTGTACCTTTTTCAATTCTTTAGTTTGCCTGTGTGGAAGTTTATAGAATTATATAAATAAATGCTTCCTTTTTATAAAATTTTTGTTCTTAAATTAAATAATATTTATGATTACGTAACAAACCTTTTTACGTTTGTACGCTAATAACGCTCTTCTTCCTTTCTGCCTCAAATGGAACCTGGCCCTTCTTAGAGTGAGCTCTGCGATTGGCATCCTTTCTCTTAATTTTGTCTTTCATCATTCTGAGTTCCCGCTGAGCATTGTAGACGTGTTTTGGAACTTGACGATGACGTGCTATGCGCTTAATTTGAGGATGGCTAGCATATTTTTCTTTTAAAACTTCTGAATAATTGAGAGCAACTCTTTCACGAGGTTTCAACTAGAAATAAAAATTAAGTAATGAAGTAAGTAATAGCTTTTGACCAATTTTTGGTGCAATAATAAATAAATCATTTACCACTCCAAGTTTTTCTGATGCTTTTGTCTTCCAAATTCGAATGTTCATTTCATCAGAACTACTTAAAATATATTTATTGTCAAGTGACCACTTAATGCAGGTCAGTCTCTGCATTCTCTTTGTATGATACACATCTCTAGAGTGGCCTTTGCTGGTTTCAAATATTCTTATAGTTTTATCATAACTCCCGCTAACAAACTCTTTACCAGTTGGTGAATAATCTAAATCTATCACTGCTGACACATGATCCATATGAACATTTATGGGTCGACGTAGATTTCGTGTATCAAACGAATATAAACTAAAAAAAAGGAATATACATTCAAAGTGATGTAAAAGGCAGTATATTTACTTGTAGTCTTCATTTGCTGCAGTAAATACAAAAGCTTCTAATGGATTCCATGCTACAGAATTTGTTTTCATTTTCATTACAACTTTATGTACAGGCCCTACATCCCGAATGTCATACAAAATTATACTTGAGTCACTACAGCAGGCAGAAAGTACATGTGTTTCGATTGGATTAAATTTAACATCATGTAAACTGCTAACACCCCATTTAAATTTCTTTATAGATTCATTTCTTGTGTCTTCCCATAATTGACATATTTCCCCACATGTTGCAAAAATCGATTGCTTGTAGTGATGGGTGATACTTGTCAACACCGTTTTATTAGGGATGGTCTTTATAGGAATGTCATCTTTTTCATCCCAACTGTTATCAGTTTTCCAAGTTTTTATGAGTTTATCATCACCAATAGTTATGAAATTATTACCAGTGTTGGTAAATGTAATACCCCTTACAACACCATTATGAGCAACAAAATCTTTCAAACACATCTGTTGGGGCACATCCCACATTCGTATCTCTCCATCGTAAGCCCCACTAATAAGGAAAGAGAGCATCTGGGGATGTTTTCCCATGCATGATATGCCATCACGATGACCATCTAAACTGGCAACAAAAGGCTTAGCAAAAACCCGTTCTAATTTGACAGCATTTAATGCTCGTACGTATTCTCGTGCTGCTTCAAAAGGATGCAAACTGGGATCAAAATTCCTTGGTACTATAAATTAACATACTTTCTCCATGCGGTCTCTAATAAATTGAAATTAATTTACCTTTGTGAATATTCCGCTTTGTTTCTCGTAAATAATCATCGGGATTTCTGTTTATCACTTTAACTTTCATTTTTATTGATTGAATTATGAAAATTATTTACGAATGATGAACGAAAATATTACGAAAACGTCGAAAAGCATTTAAAAATTATTTTTTTAAATTTGGCATCTTAACCTTTTCATCACAATTTAAATTGGCATTAACAATAAATACGGTTTTGATTTATGCCTTGGCCATAGACCTCGACTAGTGCATACTATAGATAAGTGCATGATCATAGATAATTTGTGCGAAGCTGGCATCCGATNCTCAATAAGTATTCGGACTGTGTCGCAAAATCCACATTCGAAGTAGGCAAAACCGATGTGACAGAAATGAAATTAGTTCTTAAAACAAGCGAACCAATTGTCAAACGACCCCGGCGATATTCTGAAATTGAAAGGGAGGCAATTAGGGAATTAGTAAACGAATTATTGCAATACAACATTATTCGTGAGTCGAACTCACCATATGCTAGCCAAGTTTCATTAACCAAAAAGAAAAATGGAGAATATCGGTTATGCATTGATTATCGTGCATTAAACGATATAACGGTCAAAAATAAGTACCCCCTGCCTTTAATAGAAACCCAACTCGATAGACTCAATGGATTCAAGTATTTCACAACTTTAGATTTAGCGTCGGGCTATTATCAAATTAAAATGGCACTTGAGTCTGTGCCTGCTACCGCCTTCATAACGCAAGACGGTCATTATGAATTCTTGCGTCTTCCTTTTGGACTTACAAATGCCCCCTCGGTCTTTCAACATATGATTAACACCGTCCTAGGAAACTTACGCTTCACGAAAGTAATTGTGTATCTAGACGATATTTTAATCCCCAGTAACACCATTAATGAATCCCTTGAAATTTTACAAGAGGTTTTAGAACGTTTTAGGAAACACGGGTTAACCCTTAAATTGTCTAAATGTTTCTTCCTTAAAACTAAAATTGAGTTTTTGGGCTACGAAATCTCCAACTCTACTATACGCCCTATAGACACAAAGGTTGATGCGGTCCAAAAGTTCCCAACCCCTACAAATGTTCATAATGTCCGTCAATTTTTGGGTTTGACGGGATATTTTAGGAAATTCATCCATAACTACGCCCAGGTGGCCCGACCATTAAGCCTACTCTTGCATAAGGATGTTCCCTGGAAGTGGGACGAAGGTCAAGTAACTGCGTTTGAACGCTTAAAACAACAATTGTCAAAAAAACCAATTTTAAGAATTTTTGATCCAAGTTTAGAATGTCAGTTATTCACGGATGCTAGCCAAGTGGGTATTGCCGGAATTCTTATTCAAATTGAAAACAAAAAGAAACATACAATAGCATATTTTAGTAGACAAACTACCCCAACAGAACAGCGATATCATTCCTTTGAACTCGAGACCTTGGCTATAGTGGCATCAGTTGAGAGATTCCGACATTACTTATACGGCAGGAAGTTTACTGTTGTGACTGATTGTGCGGCCGTTAAAAGTACTTTTAAAAAGAACGAATTAAACCCGAGAATAGCGCGATGGGTTATGCAATTAAGCGAATACGACTATGAAATACAACATCGCTCTAATATGCATATGCGTCATGTCGACTGTCTAAGTCGTAACCCTCCCCAAACTAAATTACAAGTAAATACAATAAACATAACCGAAAGCGACTGGCTGTTAGCAGCCCAGCAACATGATAAACAAATCCAAACACTCAAAACTACTTTGATGACTGGCGAGTCACACAAACACAAAAATATTTTCAACAGTTTTGCTTTAAAAGGGGGAATAGTTTATAAAATCACGAACACTGGCCTTAAGTGGGTGGTACCTGACGTGGCACGATATCAGGTTTTAAAATTGTGCCACGATGACATAGGGCACTTTGCATACGAAAAAACATTCGAATTTATTTCGTCCAAATACTGGTTTAAGCATATGCGCCGCTTTGTCAAAAAGTACGTCAAAAATTGTATGCATTGTTTATACTACAAATCAATTTCGGGATCTAAACCGGGATATTTGAATCCCATTCCTAAAGTCGGTCGGCCCTTTCATACTATCCACATTGACCACCTAGGACCCTTTATCAAGACCAAGCATGGAAATACCCACATTTTTGCTGTTATAGACGCATTTACAAAATTTATATTAATTTTCCCAGTAAAAAACACTAAAACTAAACACGCATTAAAATACCTAAGTGAGGTAATTAAGATTTTTGGGGTTCCCCGTCGGGTGATTAGCGACCGAGGGACGGCATTCACATCAAAGTCGTTCCAAAAATTCTGTCGGAAACGAGGAATGAGACATTACCTTAACGCCGTCGCGTTACCTAGAGGCAACGGTCAAATCGAAAGATATAATCGCACCTTACTTAACTCCTTGGCAACCATGGGTGCCGATGTCGATGACGACAGCTGGGACGAAAATATCAATAATATTCAATTAGGTTTAAATGGCACTATAAACAAAACGACTGGTTTCTCTCCGAGCGAAGCCCTTTTAGGATATCGTGTTGTCCACAACGCAATATTGGAAACGGATGAACAACGAGAAATCGACGTAACCGCTCTAAGAAAGGAAATCATTACCAACACCGAAAAGAACCAACAGTTGCAAAAACAGTACTTTGACGCAAAACGTGTCGGTCCGATTCAGTATTCATTGGGAGATTTGGTCCTGATAAAACTCACATCCACCCCAAGTACTGGCACAAGTCAAAAATTGTTACCTAAGTGGCGCGGCCCCTTCCGCGTAACTCGAATCCTAGGAAAAGACCGCTACGAAGTACGTGATATTCCTGGAATGGCTCGATCACGGACACCGTATCAAGGGGTGTCGGGGATCGAAAACATGAGACCGTGGATTACTTTTGTAAACGACAACGACAGGTAATTTAGCGATAAGACGAGCCGAAAGTCTCGAAGTGGGGTCGTGGTAGGTGACACAGGTAGAGGAGATGTCGATTCTCTCCGTCCCTGTTGGCCACCTACGTTGACACACCTCCAACGAAGTGCTGCAGGGTTGAGGTGGGCTCAAAGCTCATTGTCCCCGACGCACGCTTCGGAGGCGGCTCATAAGGGTACCCATAGATTTAGATATACATTAAGGTATTGATGTTAAGAAGCATCTTAACTCTAACTTATTGTAATGCCGATTAAGTTAATCCAAAAAAAAAAAAAAAAGAAACAACGGGGACGCCCGTTTCTGTGTTATGAGCTCTGTGGTAACTTTTCAATTTCCCCGTTCCTTGCATAATCACACGAAACCTTTCGAAAAGTGATATATTTTCTTTTCGCAGACATGTAGACGCTTGTGGACATTCCAGTCGTAGGGACACTCCTGGGGTCAGGAAGGGCCGAATGTAAGAACCTATTTCTGCCTTGGAGTTCCTCTGGCTGTTCGTGACCACGTCATTGTTTATATTCTGCGGGACTACTATTCCTTGCCGGAGAGCGGTGTTTTGTTTATAATTTAGTTTACTATTTAGTCTATGAATATATGTATGGTATATACCTATGTATATACCAAAAGGGAAAAGAGGCATTCTTTCTTGGTAGTTGAGCGAGTTAAGTGGTATTGCTCTTTGACTGTGCCGAATTGTACACCATAAGTGAAAAGAGTGTATTAAATATATTTTTAAGCAAAAGTCGTAATTCTACTCCTTTCAAAATTATCCAGATATCAAATAATGGCAGCAATGAGTTTATTAATCAATGCAGTATTTAATTGTACACGTAAACGATTAGAAAATCCGTTGATGTATCTTCTGGACGGTCGATCCTTGTTAACACAGATAAAATGTACAAGTAGGGAATTACGAATAGAAATTTCGAAATACGTAACAGGCCACTAGGTCCTGAAGCCTAACGTGGCGCGTGATCTTCCTTTAAACGTACAATTGGAAATAAAAATTTCAGCTGTATTTGTTTAAACACAGGCCATTTAAACAATAAAATGTTCCTTGTTTTACATATAATTCACAATAACTGTGATATATCGTGGTTGTTTAGAAAAAAATGTTTATGTTTAATACTTGGACTGTAACATTGTTTTATATTTTCAACACACTGTTGATAAATTCAAAACTACTATACAATAGACAACGCGTATGCAGTGTTAGGAATTTATTACGAACAGATCATTAGCAATGGTTGAGTGTACCGAAAATTCGAACTGTAATTCCACACAAAAGAAAAAAAGTGCGGATGTTGATAGTTCTTTGCGAATGGCCGGTAAGAATATTTACCATACGTAGACATTTTACTGTTTACGGAAATCGATGTTTTGAAACAAAAAATTACATAATAGGTCATTTATTTACTTTTTTTTTTTGTTAATTTTTGCATTAAAATTATATTTTACTTTCGATTTTCGGCAATCTAAACCGAACAGAACAGAGTAATTATTGTAAAACGTTCGAAGGCAAATAATTTTTTATTTTTTCAGGGTACGGCTCCTTTCATTACGAATTTTTGGTAATTTGTGCCTGTTGTATATTATCAGCGGGTTTTCAAAATGGTCTGTCTGCATATTTGCTGCCAGCTGCTCAGTGCGAATTAGGTTTAAATTACGCTGACATAGGATTTACTAACGCGGCATTTTTAGTTGGCGGTACAAGTAGTGCCCTTTTTTGGGGCATTATTGCCGATGTAACGGGGCGCAAACGGGTCCTTTTTATAACGCTCATGCTGGACTTTTTTGCCAATGTCGCGTGCTGTTTCGTGCAAAATGTTGTCGAGTTATCCCTTTGCCGATTTTTGAGCGGTTTCATAATAGGAGCCCCTGCGAGTCTTATATTCACATTTATGGCGGAATTTCACGCCCCAGAAAACCGAGCAAAAGTGATATGCTTCTCCGGAGTATTTTTTACCGTTTCATGGCTAATTTTGCCCATTATTGCGTGGTTAGTTCTGTCTTTTCCTTTTAACTTTCGATTATCTTCAACTTTAACTATCACGTCGTGGAGATTTTTAATTTTCGTTATATCATTATCGGATTTAATATCCGCGGTTTGGTTGCTAAGGCTCCCCGAAAGTCCCGATTTTTTGGTCACGAAAGGGAAAACGAAAAAAGCATTGGAAATAATTAAAAAAATCTATTCGAGAAATACTGGAGAAAAAAAGGAGAATTTTGCAATCGGGGACATTCGAGTTCCTATTAGAGTAGACAGCGACGATCCAAAAGAGCATAAACAGGGTAAAGTTATCAGGATCTTTAAGTGTATTTATTCTCAAATTAAAATCGTTTTTGAAAAGCCGCTTATAGTAAATAGTGTACTTATGAGTACCATTATGTTTGGAAATATGTATGGGTAAGTATTTTATATCAATATACTTGCATAACTTTGTTAAATCAGGTTCGCAAAATTAAAAATGTTTTGCTAAGCGTGTATGATTTATGTTAATGTAGGAATTTTCGCCTTTGTATACCTGTGTACAATTAATTTCGAAACGATTACAGTACAGTAGAGTATGTGAAAGGTGCAAGACTAAAGCTCTCTAGCAATTAAAGCGGTGAAAAATTTTTGATTTATCCCTTTACATAATACAACACCGACGTCCTGCTTCAAAGTGCTAAAGCTTCTTCAGGGAAGATTGCGAAAGTCAGATTATAAAACAGTAACTCAGAGATGCAGAAATTCTGTACATTAAATAATAATCTACTTATTAAGTTTCATCCGCTCTTATACTTTTAGTGTGTAAATAACTAACACTAATAAATTAATTAACACCCCCGTGATAACTTAGATATTATTAGATTGAGTCCTATTAATTTATAGGGTTGTTCGGAAAGTCATTTCGTTTTTTTTTTTTTGTGGAAATGAAAGACAGTTTTCGTTATATATATTGAACGTTCTGGTCCAACACCTTTTGCCATCTTTCTAGTAGTAGCATAATTCCACGCTCATAAAATTTTTGGTCTTTGCTGGCAAAAAACTGATCGAGGGGGTTTTCGACCTCCTCATTTGACGTGAAGGTTTTACCGTCTAAAAAATTTTGGAGTGATCGGAACAAATAATAATCCGATGGTGCCAGGTGTGGAGAATATGGTGGGTGTAGCACTGTATCCCATTCAAGCTGTAAAAGCTTTTGCCGAGTGATCAAACTTGTGTGAGGTCTCGCGTTGTCTTGGTGAAACACTACACCTTTCCTGTTGATTAGTTCTGACCTTTTCTGTTGAAGTGCATCNTGGTTTTGTGGATTCGTGTAAAACCCTTTGTATATCTATTATCTATGGTGTAAAACTGACACCCAATATAAATAATCCATTGATTCAAATTTTTAAATAAATTGTGCGTCGTTTGCGGGTTTTAAGTATATAAATATCATAATTGTACGTCCATTAGTTCTGTTAAAAAAAAGGAAATTTGTTTTGGGTGCAGATGGAAATTAAATGTCAATTTATTCAAAAACTACTGAAGCCAATTAATTGCGCATCATTTGTACTTGAAGACTGATCTAATACGATCTAATATGGTAAGCGGAATTTATATTTATATTATTTATTAGTAATAATTACATACATTTAATTTTTCATTGATATTACTAATACGCGTGCGCCATTACTGAATCATAGATAATAAAATAATCATAGTAATGCCATTGAAAAATTCAATATCATTTGTAATTATTACTAGTAAATAATATAAAAATAAACTCCATTTACCATAATGGTTCAATCTTCGAGCACAAATGACACTCAATCAATTGGCTTCAATTAAATTATCACATAGTAGTTTTTCAATAAATTGACATTAAATTTCCACATGCACTCGAAACAATTTTCCTTTTTTTATTATAGAAATAATGGACGCACAATTATGATACTTACATATTTATAATACGCAAACGACGCACAATTTATTGGAAAAGTTTAAATTAGAAGATTATTTATAACGGGTGCTAGATTCACACGACTTCATAGATAAGGTGCATGACTGATGGTTTTGGTAGTGGTTACCAATCAGTTAATGTATTTTAATCATAATTATATTGCTTAAATTAGTTCTTTTAATTAATGCAATTTAAACTTGAATCTGCAATATATTAAATTTACTTTTATGTGAATTCATAAAAGGTATTCTAAAAAATGCAGTTTTCATTATAAATTACTCATCTCAATCGAGAATATGCAACCTATCACACAAAATATACTATTATTAGACGTCACTAACGATTGTGGTAGGATATAGTAAATAGGCTTTTTTTTTGGTTGATAGGTATTGAAAGCTGGCATCTGGGGTAAATATCGTTTTTAAGAAATTTTAAAGATATATTGTAAAATTGATAAAAGCCTTTACGCATTTTTATTTGAAGCTGTTGAAAACGTATTAAGTTACTAATTACGAATGTTTAATTAATTTTTGCTGTAAGCTATTATTTTAATGCTGCGAATAATATATCCATGAACATACAAAACCTTTATTAAAAAAAATTTTGGCGAAGGCTAAAATTGAGCCATAATACCAATTTATCGAAGTAGATTTATGAATTTTCATTTTTAACTTATACATAGATATTTTTTTAGGTAGGTGCAGTTAAGCTTGCGAATTTTACTTTTTATTTTACAATTAAACCGACAACCCAACATAACGTAAACATTACAACTTTAATAATGTAATCACAAAGTTGGAAATCGTTTTTTCTAACGAAAATAGTTATTTATGTGAAAATCAATATTATCCTTGAACAAATTACTGAATATTACCCAGATATAGGTAATCACTTAGGAAAATTTTTAAAGGCAACTTTAATTTGGTTGAAAACCATATTTTCGAACAAACCACAAAATATTACGTAGTAGTAACTAACTAATTAATAATATTTTTAAAGATATCTTCTTGTAAAATTTGGTTGAAAACCCTTATAAAATTTTATGAGATTAAATTATTATTGTAAGTTCCTAATTTTGTATCGTTAAGATTTTGATTTTTAGAGAGAGATAGCTTTAAATAAAATGGCAGCGGTACTGACAGATCAGTACTGTATGAAAATAAATAAAAGTAAAACTAAAATACTGGTATGCAAGGGAAGAAAAAGTAGGGAAAGAGCGAA